ACCTCAGGGGGAGGAGGCATCCTTCCGCGGAAGGGTTTTGTGAGAAATTTAGATTTTCATGTTCGCAGCTGTTTCTCGCGTTTGGGTGGACGGATTCTTTTGAGACTCAGTATATGTTCTGCTATTGGGCTGCAGATAATGCACGTTCTTTTGTTTTTATTGTATATGTGTTTTCGGGCGTGAAAATGGTGCCTTTTGGTGGTCCCAGAACACCCATTTGAGCTTGAAAGTGGTCGCGGCTGTTGACCTTTGGCGTGTATTAGGTATTGTCGGTCTCGTCCACGAAGGTGACCCCTCGCACAGAGGGGTGTCTGGTCTCGATAAATTCTTTGTTTAAAACCCTAGTCCTGCGGCGCGCAACAAGTATTGTTGTAAACAACATATAAAAATATACAATAAAAAGCCCGGAGGTATAAAATCTCAGATTGTCCTTGTTCAGCCTGGTTTACATCCGATTTTAACGGGGCTCCTTGCACTCAGTGCCCGTTTGGATTCTTGTAGCTCATGTTTTATTACCACCTATAAGATAGTAGATAGAAGATCCCTTCAACCAGGTAGGACGTCTCTTCCCGTTGAGGCTGCTCGTCGCTTCACCGGAGCGTCATTCCCGGCCTGTGCGGACAGTCTAAGGCCGTGTGGTCGTACATAACTGTAGAGTAGAAAAAATATCCTTCTCTAGTAAATTATTGAGAGAGAAGGTCGCTATCCTAAGTAGAACTTATTGTAGTAAAAAAGTCTAGTGAATTAATGAGATAGCCACCCTCTACATGTATCTCATTAATATACTAAAAGGATTTCTTGTTTTTATTCTAGTGAATTAATGAGATAGCCACCCTCTATCTCATTCATTTACTAGAAGTAGTTATTGTAGTAAAAAAGGAAATACTTGCACAAAAAAAAAGAATTATCGAACTGAAAGGAAAATTGCACAACAGCCCGTTCAATCAGCTCTCTGCTACAGCAGACAGTGTTGTGAGAACAGACAGTGTCTGACCACCACAGTTGACTTCTCACAGAGTCACAGTTACAAATACTTGTTTGTATTGTGCATCGGGCCTTTTGTATGAAGCCTGTGCCTTTAGGGGACCCCCGATCTTTCACCTACCCCTATGCACCTACGTATACAACTACGCGCCAAAACCTATCCACCAATCAAAATCCAGACCATCACACTTCTCCAGAAGCTGAACTGAAAAACTTTGAAGCCCTTGTAGTACCGTACATAACCGCTAAGAGGCCCTCAATCAAATTTGACCCTCCGTTTCCCTAACCCTACAAAACTACTAAATTCTATCATGATTCATCCACAGCATCTGGAGTTATCTTGTTCACCAACAAATACCACTATGGTAACGCAGGATCACAAGGCCCATTCTCGAACTTGACATTCCTTTCCCACCCACTAAATATTATCTTGATCCATCCACAGCGTTTCGAGTTCAAAAACCAACAAACGCAAAGGGATCACTGCAATAACGTACCATAAGGCCCATTCATGAACGTACATGTAGACTTAGCCTCCAAAACGATAACTAACAATAATAATGAAAATCCATCCATGGCTTCAAGAGTCGTGCCGCCTACACGTCACTCAACCGTAGCCAAACAAAATAAACATGATTTCTGGCGAAGGTAGTAATTATGTCAATCGCGGCGTGCATAAACATAAACACTATAAGTCATTCGTCTGGTAAATAAATGCAGTGTACGTTCAGACGCCACTGCCGCCGGCTGCGGCCGGCAGTGCCAAACATGTTAGTTGCCGGAGCTTATTGAAAGGAGGAAGGAAGCCTGTCATTGATGCTTACAGATCTGCGGTAAGGTGAGTGACAAATCGTTTCTCAAATGAAAGGTTTGGCTACAGGTAAACGGCATGTAAATGCGAAGGGAAACGCAGCCATATTCTTCTTGCTTCTCTTACTGGAAGCTGACTGTGCCGCCTCAAGTGGCCCACGATTTCCTCAGTGTAACACTGCTGAATGGCAGGAGTGTGTGCCTTCTTCGTACACGCAATTGGTTTTGCACACTTCTGGTACAAATGCATGTGTCGTGTGTGAAGTCCTGAATGGGAGTGTTACCCCTGCAAGACCTTTCTCATCTCTTGCTGGGGTAAATGGTGTGGCAATAAGAGGATACCCATTCCATGTCCTGTCGGCCATGAAACCGGCACCGCTCGAGCAGGAGAAGGTCATCACTTTGGCTTTGATAGATGCAAAGATCGCTGATGTGAAGAACAACACCTTTGCTGGGTTTCTTCGTATGAGGAAATTGTCCCTAAATTCTAACAGGTTGACCCATGTCAAGCAGACTTGGTTCACTGGCTTGAGGAGCCTCTTTGTGCTGATTTTGTCCAACAATAACATCAGGCAGATAGAGCCAGGAAGCTTCGGGCGCCTGACTCGACTACATCTGTTGGATCTGGAGAACAACCTGTTAAAGGTTGTACATCCTTCCTGGTTCTTTGGACTGAAAAGTATGGTGTCCCTGCATCTGAGGTCGAATGCAATCAAAAGCATTTCTCCGGCGTCATTCCAACAGCTAAAGCTCATCCGGTTAGACCTGAGGGATAATGATCTGTCATGTTTGGATGGAGAGGTGTTGTGGGGACAGTCTTGCTATCAGGGCTAGATGTCAGCAGTGGTATGTTGTCGTCTGTCCATGATGGAACGGCACACAAAATGATGTGGAGTCTACATCGGGTAGCCAGTGTGACGAGAGGGTTAGTTACAATGGTCGTTGAGGTACCTAAGTTCCTCTTCTGTGTCAGGCAAAATGCTCACGAACTCTCGCTCGGGTGGATGTTTGTTTCGTCCGACAACGTGACTGGTAACACCGATATTGGAGCGCTTAACCCTTTCAGATCATGTGGTGATTTGGATAGCTCTCTGAGCACGATCTCCATCCAGCCCCCTGTAGTTGTCCTGGCTTCTAACGGCTCTCTGGCAGACACACTGGACACCAAAACGCTTGAGCAGTGCAGGCAGGTTTGGGAATATGACGGTGGCATTACGGTGGCCCTGGTGAAAAGCCCAATCTTTCGATTGGTTTCCATGCCCATACACACAGGCACAGAGAGTACCGTCTCTAAAGGTATTGCCATGTCGTTTGTCCAGACACGAGACACGAGCACACTCACCACTACAGAGTCTGGCAGTAGCCAACAGCTCACTACTCACACAGACATCACCCATGACAAGACAAAGAACATCACTTGCATTCTTCTCACCAGAGGAGAACACACAAAGGTGTTCTTCACTGTCCCCTTGGTTCAGCGTAACACCCACACAACAGAAACAACATACAGAACGGGCACTGACCACTCCAGCAGTCCGACACACTACTTTGATACTACAGAGAAAGACTACACATCTTCAGAACCGGTAGACCTGTTTACACTTGAGGGTAATACCACACCTGGACCGGATGTAGAGGTGGTTCAGACACCAGGTCATGTTCTCATCCCAGCTGTTGTCTCGACAGTGGTTGTTCTGGTCGTGTCGTCCCTTGCAGTGTTAATATGGAAGGTGTGCGCAGCAAGGTCAAACACCGAGGATCATGACAGGGACAACGACGATGCACACATTTGGACAATCCCGCCTGGCGTTGCCTTCCCCGGCTTGCTGAGGTCTGCTTCTCTCCGCAGCTGCACGTTCAGGCAAGATGGCGTCGGATGACGCAGTCTCCTGTAGGTCATTGCCCGCTGTCCTGCACTCCATCGAACCTATTTACAGCGTGATCCCAGATGACGTAGCGACTGCACAGAGGCCTTTGCCCGGTCTCCCACACGTGTACTGTGAGATCCCAGATGACGCGATCTCCGGTGTGGTCCGGTCAGCATCCCTCCCTGCGTGTACTCCCGGGGGCGGTCCAGACGACGCGACATCCTGTAGGTCATTACCGTCCATTGAACCCACCTACAGCCAGATCCCAGATCACATGGCCGCTGCTCACCGCCCCCTGCCCGCCCTCCCGCACACTTCCTGGGAGATCCCAGATCACCACACTGCCACACAGCGTCCTCTGCCTGTCTCACATCATACCTACAGTGAGATCCCAGATGACGAGGAGAGCGGACCGATGTCTTTCTATGCTGATGCTGGAGAGATCTCGCTTCATGTCGTCACAAACAGGCGACAGAACCGACGGTCTGGACGATCCATGGTCACATATGGGTCGACTGGACAGACCAACGGCCAGCGAAATCCCTTCTACAGAAACGCCGCCGAGGTCGAAGGTATAAGGTCCCGGCGACAGCAGAGGACAGCTTTGGCATCTCAGCCTGCTGACCAAGGTGTGAGCATGTACGTCAACGTCACAGATGCAATCCTGTCCAGAGGTGAAGACGTCACAAGAGCTCATATCGCTTTTCTCACACAGCCTAACACATATGGGTCATGGGAGATCCAAGGGGAAGGAAGCCGTATTACACCACGGCGTGCATCCCTCCCTACCGTCACACTACCTAACACCTACTGGCCATGGGAGATCCCAGGGGACGGAACGCATTTCACACGACGACGTGTGTCTCTTCCCACCGTCACACTACCTAACACTTACTGGCCATGGGAGATCCCAGGGGAGGGAACACGTAACACATCACGGCGTGCTTCCCTCCCCACCGTCACACTACCTAACACCTACTGGCCATGGGAGATCCCAGGTCAGGGAACCCGTAACACACCAAGGCGTGCGTCCCTCCCCACAGTCACACTACCTAACACCTACTGGCCATGGGAGATCCCAGGGGAGGGAACACGTAACACATCCAATTGTATTCATAGTCCACGTCAACAAACTACCTGGGATCATCGATACTCCGTCGTGGTCATTCGTCGATGATTTGAACGTCATAGAGTCCAGACCCGTATCTCAACCACCCAGAATACAGAATGATCTCGATCAGCTCTCAAGCTGGACAGTTGAAAATAAGATGAAGCTTAACCCAGGCAAATGTAAAGCCATGCACATTTGTTTCTCCCGTAACCCACCGCCGCCACCAGCTCTCAACATCGACGGTCACCAGCTGAAAGTTGTGAAAGTAGCCAAGTGTCTTGGAGTCTCTTTCCAAGAAGATCTGAACTGGGACACCCACATCACGGACACTACTAAGAAAGGGAATCAAAGGTTATACTTACTATGTAGACTGCGTCAATTCAACCTGCCTATAGAAGACCTTCTGACTGTCTATACGTGTTTTGTCCGCGCCGTGTTGGAGTACGCTGCGCCACTATGGCACCCTGGCTTGACAACAAGACAAAGATGCAAGATCGAAAATATCCAGCGTCGAGCAACAAAGATTATTACTGGGCAAGAACTTTACCAACTACTCGTCAGCCTTGAAAGTGCTGAAACTCCAAACACTTGAAGACCGAAGAGTCGCTCTGTGTGCTAAGTTCGCCAAGAAGGTATACAACTCCGATCTGTACAGTCACTGGTTGCCAGAACATAGAGGTAACATTAGCGGCAGGGTGACCAGACAGAACAGACAGATTGACCAGTTGCCAGCAAGAACCGACCGTTATAGAAAGAGCTCCATCCCATACTTTGTCACACTGTTGAACAACTCTGTATAGTAGGGTATCCGTAGAGTCCTTTTGTGCTTACAGGTTGAATTCATTGTCCTTGCATTTAGTGTTATTGTATATACTTTACTAGTTTTTAAAAGTAAATAAGCTAGGGTTTTAAACAGTTGCGGCATCATGATTTTAATAAGTAATATGTAATATGTGCACGCAATTCAGCCTGCGGCTGCGATGTGAAACATACCAATTGTACTGTTTATTGTATTTGTGAAATAAACCAATATATAGATTGTG